CCTGCTATCGGCGTCTAGTAAACCCTAAACAATCCAATATAATGGGAATGGGCTCAATCCCCCCGACTTTCCTTTTCTTTGTTATTTAATATAAAATAGCTCCAAGCCTCCCTCTTTAAACCCCTTCTCCCTTCTCCCCTGGGCACACAGGTTTCGGGCTGGTGAATGGCAGCTCAGCGTGCTCAGGGAGGGTGGAGATCCAGGTTCTTGGTGCCTGGGGAACCCTCTGTGACTCACGCTGGGATTTACCAGATGCCAACGTTCTCTGTCATCAACTCGACTGCGGATTCGCTGTATCGGCTCCAGGAGAAGCGTATTTTGGGAAAGGAACAGGCTCTGTCTGGGCAGACACATATCACTGCAAAGGGACTGAAACCCATTTGAGCCATTGCCCTGTTACTGCTCTGGGGGCCTCTCAGTGCTCACACGACAATGATGCCAGTGTGATTTGCTCAGGTAAGTGCAGGAGAGATGCTGGATTAATGACACCAGCCCCTCAGTGTGTGACACTGCTCCCAGAGCAGGAGAACCTCAGGACACAGCAAGGGGAGGGGGAGCTAGATCCTAAAGCACGTATAATACTAGTAAATGTATTAAAGATAAAATTTAAGTAAATAATATTATCACAAAAGAATAGTTGTGACCTGGGAAAGCCCTGGATTCTCCAGTAAAAACATCAGCAACTCTGTCCTTACACAGGGCAGAGGAGCAGGGGCAGCACTTTGTCCTTCGGGTTACATAAATGTCACCAATTCCTTGTCCCCAGCCTTCTCCAATAATAATTAGAGGAGGAGCTGGTAGTGACTCCCAATATGGAGGTTGCTTCACACTTTCTATTATAAAATATTCTCGGCACCTTCTTGAGAAGCTCTCGCACCTTCCTTGATTGCTGGAAGCTTTGCCTTCTCTAGTGCAGTGAGATGCCTTCCAGGTTTGGCTGAATTATAAACTGCTGAAAATCACCATTTCCCTTCTCCTGAGGATATTTTTGGTAGCACACTACAGAGAAAGTAGTGCTTTCACTCACTTAGCTTTTTTTACTTTTTTCACACCTTTCCAATTGAAAAAACTCTAAAAATCCCTCCACCCCCACCCCGGCTTTCTTACTTTCTT